ATCATCAACTTTGGTGATAGTGAGCAACCAAACGTGGCTCAGAACCCAGTATCAAACCATACAAGTACATGAGTTAATGCCATTGTTAAGGAAAAGGGGAAGAATAACATAATAAAGGTGAGTGAGGTAAAATTACGAATGCATTGGATATGAGGTCAAATGATCAAAACAGACCTATTGGTCCCTATTTTTAGCAGCTTAACAAGTTAAGATTGAGAATGTATACCATTATCACAATCGTGAAGGACACACCATCCAACATTGTCATGAGTTTCAAGCTCTAGTACAAAGGATGATGGATGATAAGGAAATGAATTTTTACAAAGAAGCCACTGAAGAATCAGTAGAGATATGTGCATCTGAGGGTTCTTCTAGGGGAATTTACAATGCCAATTATCATATCAAAAACTCATGTGGTAGAAAAAGTAACTCCTAAGGTGATAATCACGCCCCCATCTCTATTCCCTTACAAGGATAACAAGCAAGTTCCATGGAAGTATGAGTGTGAGATGGACGATGTGGAGAAAGAGAATGAAGAAGTGGGTGAAGTAGGCCATTTTACCAGAAGTGGGAGATGTTACTCTCCAGATCAACCTAAAGAGCTTGAGAAAAGATCTGCCACCGATAAAGGGAAGAAGGTTAATTATTGTTGAAGGAGAATGAGCCAGTTATTAATGAGCCAATGATAGAAAATGAGGCTGTAGAATTTTTAATTTTTTTTGAAACACATTGAATATAGTATCATTGAACAATTACACAAGCTACCTGACCATATCTCAATCATTGTTCTTCTATTGAGCTCTGAGGCACACCGAGATGCTTTGTTGAAAGTCTTGAATCAGAATTTCGTACCGAAGAATTTACATGTAGACAAGCTAGATAGGTTGGTTGTAAATATTCAAGATGATAACTTTATTTATTTTTCCAAAGACGAGATCTTGTCTGGGATTGTTTGTAACCATAAAGCTTACATATCACTTTTAGGTGCAAGGGGCATGTTTTATTTCGTGTACAAGTGGATAATGGCTATGCACTAAATGTGATACCATTGGTAACCCTAAACAAGTTTTATATTAATAGTACACACATGAGGAGCTGTCAAAGCGTCGATCGAGCATTCGATGGAACCAAAAGAGAAGTACTGGGGAAAATTGATATTCTTTTTACCATCGACCTGTCTACTTATGAGGTCGAATTCTTTTTTATGAACATCATGCCTACCTACAATTGTCTGTTGGGAAGACGTTGGATCTATCAAATAGGGGCAATTCCATTCACTCTGCACCAAAAGCTAAAGTTTATGATTAATGGGAGGTTGATATGTATTAACGTTGAGGAATACATTATTGCTTCTATTTCCACTACGACCCTTTATGTTGAAGTGGATGAGGGAGTTGTGGAGTGTTCCTTCAGATTTTTAGAGTTTGTCAATGCAATATTTTTGGCTGAGGGGAGGAAGATATCCAAGCCAAGACTATCCAACTACACCCGAATGGAACTCAAGTTGACTCTGGGAAGGGGAGCCAAGGCTGGGAAAGGGCTAGGGAGCCACCTACAGGGACATGTCAATCATGTTTTCCCACCACCAAACACTACACAAATTTATCAATTTATGACGAAATTTCTATATGACGTTGTAAATAACATCAAAAAATATATTATAATTGTGACATTTTTTTGTTTTCGTCACATTTAGTGATTCATTATATATTTTTATGACAATTTTAACATTTGTCATTGATTTTCGTCACTATATGTTTGGAGCCAAAATTTACCTCCAAAAGTTTTTGGTAGGAAACCTTTTTAATGATGTTATAAAATTGTCTCCAACAAAATATAACTATTAGTGACGATTTAGTATTATGATGATATTATTTGAATTAGTGACGTTACAGATTTGTCACTTATAGGTTGCATTTTGTGGCAATTTGATTCGTCATATATTTTAAGATATAAAATATGACATTTTATTTGTGCCACAAATAGGTTTAACATAACTAAAGCAAATATTTGTCACAATCTCTTGTCTTTTATATAACAATTTTAAAAGACATCATGAGATTATGTCACTTAGTATTTGGCACAAGGAATTAACAAAAACAATTGTGGAAATTTTTTTAGTGACATCTTAGATATATCACAAATTTAAAATATTATTAGCGATAAATTCCAATTTTTTTTATTTTTTAAAATTTATGTATATATATACATAAGATTTTTTTGTTAATACATATATGTACATGTATTTATATGTTCAAGATCTCTTTTACTGTTAAAAAATAATCTTTAGTTGATCATGTTAAAGACGAGTGCTAATAAGATAATCAAATATGTTGTGCCCCAAAATCGAGATTAAAATCATTTTTGGGTTTAAATTTGTTTTTTGATATATTAATTCTAAATTTTGGATTGAATTTGAAAGTTTGTAAAGTTTCTATAACCAATTCATAAGTTTTAGAAATGTGAACTATAGACAAATTAAGGAATGAACCTTTAATTTTACCCTTTTGGTTTATATTAAATTTTTTTTAAATATATTTATACGTATGCTTAAGTTTAAGAACCTTTTACCATTAATATTTTTTTGATGTCGACTTGCGTCACACACTTGAGTTTGTTGAGTGAGTCTCTAAATGAAAATTTTCTGCATAGACAAGGGGTCAAACTTGAGACATGCTTAAAAGGTATCAACTTACTTACCACTTGAACCAATATTTTTTTAATTAATCGTGTCGAAGTCTATTTACCACGCTTTAAAATCAAGTTTAAAAACTTGGTCATAAGAGCGTAGTGGTAGTGGTAGTGGTGGTAGTGGTAGGTAGTGGTAGTGGTAGTGGTAGTGGTAGTGGTAGTGGTAGTGGTAGTGGTAGTGGTAGTGGTAGTGGTAGTGGTAGTGGTAGTGGTAGTGGTAGTGGTAGTGGTAGTGGTAGTGGTAGTGGTAGTGGTAGTGGTAGTGGTAGTGGTAGTGGTAGTGGTAGTGGTAGTGGTAGTGGTAGTGGTAGTGGTAGTGGTAGTGGTAGTGGTAGTGGTAGTGGTAGTGGTAGTGGTAGTGGTAGTGGTAGTGGTAGTGGTAGTGGTAGTGGTAGTGGTAGGGTAGTGGTAGTGGTAGTGGTAGTGGTAGTGGTAGTGGTAGTGGTAGTGGTAGTGGTAGTGGTAGTGGTAGTGGTAGTGGTAGTGGTAGTGGTAGTGGTAGTGGTAGTGGTAGTGGTAGTGGTAGTGGTAGTGGTAGTGGTAGTGGTAGTGGTAGTGGTAGTGGTAGTGGTAGTGGTAGTGGTAGTGGTAGTAGTAGTAGTAGTAGTAGTCGTAGTAGTAGTAGTAGTAGTAGTAGTAGTAGTAGTAGTAGTAGTAGTAGTAGTAGTAGTAGTAGTAGTAGTAGTAGTAGTAGTAGTAGTAGTAGTAGTAGTAGTAGTAGTAGTAGTAGTAGTAGTAGTAGTAGTAGTAGTAGTAGTGGTGGTAGTAGTAGTAGTAGTAGTAGTAGTAGTAGTAGTAGTAGTAGTAATTAGTAGTAGTAGTAGTAGTAGTAGTAGTAGTAGTTAGTAGTAGTGGTGGTGGTGGTAGTGGTGGTAGTGGTAGTTAGTCGTAGTGGTAGTAGTGGTAGTAGTGGTAGTAATTAGTCATAGTGGTAGTAGTGGTAGTAGTGGTAGTAGTGGTGGTGGTAGTAGTTAGTCGTAGTAGTAGTAGTTAGTCGTAGTGGTAGTAGTGGTGGTGGTGGTAGTGGTAGTAGTTAGTAGTAGTAGTAGTAGTAGTAGTAGTAGTTAGTCGTAGTAGTAGTGGTGGTAGTAGTGGTAGTAGTAGTGGTAGTGGTAGTAGTGGTGGTAGTGGTAGTGGTAGTGGTAGTAGTGGTGGTAGTGGTAGTGGTAGTGGTAGTGGTAGTGGTGGTGGTGGTGGTGGTGGTGGTGGTGGTGGTAGTTAGTAGTAGTGGTAGTAGTGGTAGCAGTGATATTAGTAGTATTTAGTCGTAGTAGTAGTGGTGGTAGTAGTGGTAGTAGTAGTGGTTGTAGTAGTTAGTAGTAGTAGTAGTAGTAGTAGTAGTAGTAGTAGTAGTAGTAGTAGTAGTAGTAGTAGTTAGTCGTAGTAGTAGTGGTGGTGGTGGTGGTGGTGGTGGTGGTGGTGGTGGTGGTGGTGGTGGTGGTAGTAGTTAGTAGTAGTGGTATTAGTAGTAGTTAGTCGTAGTAGTAGTAGTAGTTAGTCGTAGTAGTAGTAGTAGTAGTAGTTAGTCGTAGTAGTAGTAGTGGTAGTAGTGATAGTAGTGGTAGTGGTGGTGGTGGTGGTAGTAGTAGTAGTAGTAGTAGTAGTAGTTAGTCGTAGTAATAGTAGTGGTAGTAGTGGTAGTGGTAGTGGTAGTAGTAGTTACTAGTAGTAGTAGTAAAAATATTGATGGAAATATGTATCTTCAAGGAAATGATCCTACAAAAAATAAAAGAAAATATATATTATTAAAATTTATTTATGATAATAATAAAATCAAATGAAATGACCAACAACCTGTTGGTCCAATGTGATGAGCACTAAATTCCTTAAGCAAGGTAAGAGATTTGAATCTTAATGATTGTGAATGGAGAAAACTGGGTTGAGAGGGTTGCCCTTGTCTCTATAGTACATAATCTCGATTAGTCGATCAATAGATCTAATACTAGTGATTATACCAAAATCAAATGAAATGAAATAAAAAAGAGATAAAAATATATTAATCTTTAAAATTGACACCGTAAAAAAGAAAAATAATATGTGAGTGAAAATAAAATAGTAATAATAACAATAATTAAATAAGATGAATACATAAAAATAAATAAAAACACATTAATGTAAGGACCAATATGTAAAAGAAAAATTATTTGGGTTGCAATAGCAAATAAATTTGACTCAACATGATAGAATTAAGACAAAAATAATAAAACTGAGGACCAAAATTAATATAATCCCAAAGGTTAGATAGCGGCGCGGGTGTCCGTCCTCTTTTTCTCCTTTATATTTCCTCATCCCAAACTAAGAAAAATGAAATACTCTCAACATCCAACCCTAGCTGTCGATGCTTTTAAGCCCTCTCCGTTGCGCTAAGGTGACTCTACCGGTGATACTTTTTATCAAAATGACCCACAATGCCTTCTCTTCTCTTCCATCCGAACGAATCTTTCGAAACATGAATAAGGACAAGCAAAACTAGACCAGAGCGTTAGTCTCTTCACTCGTTGGATTCACATTGTTCATCTTCGGATGTGATTGAAATCACGCAACGTTCCTCTCTTCGACTTAGGCTCCTTATCTACCATTTTGATTCACCGAAGAAAGCTCTAACCGTCACCAACTTAAGAACCCGAGAAGGTAAGCCTTCCATCTTCTATCCCTTTTGACTTCGTTTTCTTTGCATTTATCCTTCTCAAACTTCTTATTTTCTTTGAATCTGGTGGTATTAGATTTTACTCGATCATGGGTTCTGGGTATAGTCAGGGTCATTGAATTCAAATCTTATGGCTCTAGATTTTCTACATGGGAAAATTCGTGGTCGAAGCCCATGTTTGTTACAGAAGCTTATGAAACTGATGATAAACCAATCGAAATTTATGGTTTTAAAAATTGATGATGCCATTAGTCCATCAGACTACTGAGGTATAATTTCCAAATTGTTTCACCTAGAAGATTACCCTGTTTTGATTGTGTTTTATGGTCTCCCAAAACTTTTTTGTTTGCTCGAGAGAAACATGTTTTACTTATATATTTTTGAACTGTCGAGCCCTCTGTTGGTTGAAGTAGAATGATGGACTCGTGTTATTGGCAATGATTATTTACATCTTTAGTTATTGCCTTCAATCATCAATGGATCAATTTCCATATTCCTCTTAAAAATGTTTTATATTATTTGTCTATAACATTATTTTTATGTAGAATGGTGATTTGAATAATTCAATTTTTTGGCACTATTTTTTGGCACTCGTTGTGCAGGGTGTTGGCCTGGAAAACTTGGGTAATACATGCTTTATCAATGTTTTGTTATAATGTTTTACTCACACGGTTCCATTTGTTTTGGGTCTTCAATCTTTGAATCACCATGAGAAGTCTTGTGATTGTATGTTTCTTGTTTAATCTTTGTTCCTTTGTTTTCTTTTGGGGTTTCTCATTGTTTTTGTTTTTGTTTGAATTGTTAGGTGATAATGAGGGCTTCTGTTTACTTTGTGCTCTTCGTCATCATATTGAACTTTCATTGAATTTTCAAGAGTTGTATTGCCTCACAAAAGATTTTACAAATTGAACTGTATCCTTTATTTTTCTATTAGTTGCTTGATTAGTTTATAATTAATCGGTCGTTACATAATATGTGATAAGTATTGAATGATTTTGATTTAAAATTGATTTTTTAGTAAATTTTGGTCACTTTATTTCTTTAGTCATTGTAAGAGATTGACACATTTGTTATCAATGTGCTTGGAAATGTGTATTTCAAGTATGGGGAGTGACTAGAAAAATACAGAAATGAAGTATGTTCATAATTGTGATTCTTGACCCTAATGGACTAGGTATTGCATCATTTTTCAAAGATATCAACAGGAAGAAGCTCACGAGTTCCTGCAATGCATGTTACATAGACTTGAAAGCTGTTGACTAAAGCCCAAGAATGATTTGTCCTCTGTTGATTATTTCCTCTGGTCGCCTGGTTAGCAGAGTATAAATGTTACAACTTGATCATGGGTAATTATTGTAATTTGTAAAAGATGTATGTTATTGTTGTAATTAATGTGAACCTTCTCCTTTAATGTAATTTATAAAAAGTTGTGGTATCTATTATAACTTATAAAAGGTTTTATCCTTAATTTTAATTTATAAAAAGTTTTTTCCTTAATTTTAATTTATATAAAGTTTTGTCCTTTTACTAAAATGTTTTGTCCTTTAGTGTATTTTATAAAAGTTGTCCTTAAATGTGATTTATAAAAGTTGTGTTGTATATTGTAATTTCTAAAAAGTTGTCATTTATTGTAATTTTACACTTTTTATTTATTATTAAATTTTTTGTTACTAATACAATAAAATTATTATATTATTAATGACAATATTAATAATTAGTGACAAAACTTTATATTATTTGATGACATAATTAATTGTCAATGAATATAATTTCTAAGGTGACTTAATACATTAATGTCACTAAGTATTTAATAATACGTGATGACAATATATACATCGTCATATTTGATATTTAGTGACACACATAGTGTGACATTCGTTGTGACGTCAAATTTTTACGTCAAAAAATATAAACAGTGACGTAAATGTAAGTTTCAATGATGATATTTCATATGCCATAAATAAACAAATTTGTTGTAGTGAAAAGAGATCACTTTGGCTTGAGATATCAGCCAACCTTGAGGGAAAATTGAAGGGAATCCAAAAGAGTCAGGAAAGCAGAAGAGCAAGGTTAGCTGGACAAGATATTAAGTGGGAGCCAATGACTTTCCCACCACTTCATGATACCTTTGTGTCTGGAAGTCATATGTTTCAAGGAAGCTAGCAAGTTAAGAAACCAATTGTCGAGGATGCTTTGGGAGATTTGGGCATTAATGTTATACTGGATGATGAGACTAAGGAAGGAAGAGATGTAGGCATCTGTCCCGCACCGCCAAGCTTCACGTTGAATAATTGGATTACAAAGGAGTTACTTGTAGTTTACAAAACTTTTTCAGAGTAATACACGAAAAATTTCCATGTTGTCTAAATCCGGGGCAATAGGTGATCTTATGTAAACGGGTTTAATTTTTAATTAAATAAATGTAATTTTAAAAAATATTGCTTCAAAAAATTGGTGTTCCCTTTAAAAAGTAGAAAAACGTATGGTTCGAGGAGTCACCACCAGTATTTGATTAGGTGTGATTGAGCACCCAAAAACGTTTTATCATTTTAATAAGATTTAATTTTTAAAAATTATTAAAACAACATTTTAATGTTTGCGTACCCAAAAAATTGAGTTCAAGAGTCGATTACGCGTGGGGAATGATTAACACCCCCACAGTGCCCTAAATCGGTACGTAGTCGATTAATTAATTGTCTTTACAATGAAATAAACAAGTTCGAATTTAATTTAGTTTAAGATCCCTTTAAATAATATTCTTTGAATTATAGAATGAAACATAATAATATTTAATTATTTCCCATAGAGAAGAATCAACCTCTCATACCTTAAAGTAACCAATTCTCAACCTCTCATACCTTAAAGCAACCAATTCTTACTCCAATCGAAATAAAGAAATATTATAATTCTCTTCTAAGATTCACTATTAATTTAAATGCACGAAAGATGATGGAATAAAGCAAACAAATTAGATTACCAATCCTTTTACAAAGAATAAGGATATTCGATTATTTAAAGACGTCGAGATCGGACCTTTTATAAGTTCCATCGATATTTTCTCGATGAATTTAAATAGATGAACATTTCTTTTTCTTTTGTTCCCAAATTTTAGATGCAGTCAAGTTTTTAGAGCTTCATTGGTGGGATAATTTCATTTTAAAATTGTTGGAAATGACTTTCTCAAGCTGCCCGACAGGATTACTAGGTATTCTTAGACGATTGCTATGGCAATACTCTTCAGCGTTAACTACAATTCGTTGTTCTAGCAATACCTCTCAGTAAAGTAGCGTAAACTATAGGCATTGTCCATCCTACTCTAGCGTCTATCCCTTTTAGTCGATTGAAACTGCTCTTTATCTCTAAGGTAGACAAGTTAGAACTTCACCATCCCGGATTCATTCTATTGCTTACGACGATCTATCTTAATTCTCTCGAATATAAGAATCACTATCTAGACAAAAGGTTATCTCTCGATACTCTTACAATGCCAAGTCATGTTTTACCAAAACTCTGGGCGATCTCTCGATGCTCTTACAGTGTTAAGGAAAAATATATAAACAGTAAGCAAAACAGTCATAAGCTAAACATAATTCATCATTCATAAAACATAAAAATATTGTTCAGGCAAAACAAAGTTTAACACCAAGTAAGACATTCATGGTGCTATCAAAGATCATCCAAAATTTAACGTTTAGTACAACCCCAAATAGATAAAGAGTTAAAAACAAAGGAAGAACGACTCCCAAAACCAGGGGCTCTGTCGCGACAATTCTGATCAGCACTACGCCTTCCTTGGTGATCACCCTCTCTCGAGGCCTCATCATCGCTATGCTAACGTCTGGTTATGGAGGACACCAAGGAAGATCAGTGGGTAGACGGTGAAGAAGCACTGCAGTTGCTTGCTCACGCCTTGGATAAAGTTCTTCTCTCTTCTTCCTCTCCTCTCTTTGGCGGCTTCGGCTGGTTATTTATAAGGGAAAATCGCTTAGGGCTTTACATGCTTTTTGGAGTTTCCTTAAATAAACGTTGTCAAATAAATGTCCAGACTTAAAAAAGAAAGGCGGTTGTCAGAATAACTAAGGTTTACTTGAACGTGAAGTAGGTCATCCAGCTGGCTTGTGACATAGGCGGTTTCATCACATCTGCTTCAGACTTCCTCAGATAACTCTTGCCTCAGTGAGATAAATCTGCTCCTCACGTTCTCATCTATTTCATTGGCCTTTGCAAATTTTTGTTGTCGCGACTGAAATGTTCTTCCCCTGTAAGTTTACTACAAAAACATAATCCAAATGACCCTTTCTCCTCAGCAGCATCAGTCAAACCAAATAAATCTTTCCTAAGCAAAATTTATCCACCACAAGCTAATGTAACATATATGCAACTAAAATGATATGCATACTTTGTCTAGACGAGCAATAACTTAAGTGAAAAGACTAGAAATTAAGTCTTTTTACGGAGTTATCAAACCCCCAAACTTAAGCTATTGCTTGTCCTCAAGCAATGTACAATAGCTAGAAGAAAATCAAAATTGTCATGGAAAAGCAGAGTTAAGGAAATCATATGGTGTGAGATTTCAGCCCTCAGCAAAAATTGTTTGGCCTCAACATGTTCGACAGTCATGTAAGTCAAGTCCCTTCCCTAGTCAGGATTCTTTGCTATAGTGTGCGCGTGATTGTAATCAGTCCTTGCATAAAGGTAATTAAAAAACTTAAGTAAGCACTTCTGGTTTTCAAGGCAACAAATTATTTCTCATTCTTAGTTTACACTCTTAGTTATTTATCAACTTTTTTTTCGTATGGGAGTCAGCTCATCACAACTACCATTTCACACTCTAGGTGAAAGGGAGCATACCTTCCACCCCAAGCTAGTCGGGCAGAGTCATCCTATGACTACTTTCATTCACTCATATGTCGTTGCTAATCTTTATTTCTTATGGAGTTTTTATGCTTATGCCTTTGCACAAAGGAGTGTCCCTTCTTATTTTTCAAGTTTTCAAACAATAGAGAGTTTTTACTTCACCCTTAAAATACTTTTGAAGTCTCGACAAGCATAACGTTCTTTTCCAAAATTTTTACAGATTATCTGAAACAAAGACAACATACAATTGTGTTTATGAACTTCAAAGAACTAGGCCTAAGGTTGGTTCTCTTCTTTAAACAATCTTAACAATAATTCTGGCCTAGGCAATTAAATTATGCATTCATCATCGGGCATCCCTAATTCATTCCTAACAATAACCTTAACATGATTATGTCATGACAATCAAAATTTTCAACCAATTATCATCAACTACTTTCTAACAAAGTATGGCAGAATATGGTACAATACCTTCCCCAAACTTGAAGGATGCATTATCCTCAATGCATAAAATTAAAATTACATGAATCTATATGCAGATGCGAAAAAGGAAAACTAAAAAAATAAGTAAAAGCTTATTGTGGTGGGGTGGCTTGGCTGGAAGCCCTCGTTCGGTGTCGTTTGGGAGGAGAGGGACTCTTGGATCCTGAGTTTACTACTGCCAGTGAGGGAGATGGCTGAAGTATACGGCCTGCGGTTCTCTTATAGCGCTTCTTGCTGGACGAGGCTCGTGTTGGAATTGACTGCTCGACAGTAGGAGTTGGTTATGTTGGAACTGGTGTTGGACTAGAAACTGCTGCTGGGGTTGGTATAGCTTTACTGACAGGGGACGGAATGGGATCTTACGTTGGTTACGGCGATGCTGGAGTAAAATCTTCATCGGAGAAGAAGTGAGGTGGAGTATCATTACTGTTTTCATAGATTGAAAAGGAGGAGGAGCTGAGGAATTCTTTTGTGTCGCCTTGGCCTTCCTCTGGTAGAGGTGGTACTTGAGTTGCTAGTGGTGGCACATTAACGGGTACTTCTGGGGGAACTTCTGGAGGGGCATGCGATGTCGAGGTATGGAATGTACTGCCGCCCACATTGTATTTGAGAATAACAGCGGGGAAGGTCGCTAATCTGATGTTTGTGTTCGAGAGCAACTCCTTGAAAAAGACGTTGAGTTGCATGTCCCTAGCCTTGATATACTCGAAGTAAATTTCCATGTGGTCCTCCAGGCGACCAATCTTTTTACGCGTTTCTCGAGTGTGCGTGACCATAGAAGCCATTCTAGCCGTGGCAACCGATTTTGCTCTTCGCTCCAAACCTTCCTGTGGATCGTTGTCATTGAAACTCATTAACTCAGGGATATTTTTCCTGGTAATACCCTCCTTTGGTTTAATATAATCCTTGAAGTGATCCTCAGGAACATTCTTCTTCTTGCATAATGCGGTTATCAAGTTGGGAAACAGAAGGTTACCCCGGTTCCTCTTGGCACATTCATGGATCTGCTCAAAAATGAGTTCTCCAACGTCAATCTTCCTCCCGTATATGATTGAGTGCAAGAGCAGTAGTCTATTCACGAGGACTGTGGTGTTATGGGACATTGGCATCAGCTTGCCTTTGAGAAGGTGGTTCCATAATTTCACGTGCGATTTTAGTGCTCGGCGAGCTACTCTTTTCCTCATTGGGTTATTCCCTTCGAACTTGGCCCACCCAAAGCATAAATCATGTAGTACACCGTCGTACGTTTATTGATCGGCCTCTGCCACAAATGGCTTGTGTTACTCTTACATTTTTCCTAACTTAAAGTATCGATTGAGTGCAAATGGGGAAAATCGAATGAGCTTTCCTCGAACATAAACTGTGTGGTTAGACGGGTCCTCAAGATGGGCATAGAATTCCCATACCATCGCCGGTGCTACAGCTTTGGGATTGTGAGCAAACTTCTCCCAGTTGTATTTCTTTATCACGTCCATCACCTCCGATCCAAACGGCTCCTCTTCCTTGGTGGGAAAGATGAATACATCTTCCAAATAGACTTGACGTTTCTGAAAATTTTTAAAGTGTGCTTCTGCTTCGGCTGTTTAGAAATGTTCAAAACTTTGTGTTGGGGCTGGGGCTTTCCTTGTTATTACCATTTTTCTTTGTTGATATCAGTGGTGATGATGGGGAGAGAAAAAAAAAATTCTTGCTTAGTTATGAGAGGTTGAGGCACAATGAAGAAGAAGAAGTTATTGAACAGTTTGTTTCTTTGGAAAGTAATGGGTGGTTTCGGGATAGTTTTGTCCTATCTTGGAGGGAAAAGATTTGTGTATTAATGATAAATATATGATTGAATATAAAGTGGAAAAAAAGGATTTATTTTCCTTTTTATTCTGCTGCCAAAACCATGCGTCCTAGGGTTTCTTCTCTTCTTATACATGCTCTTATTCCCTATGCAGCCATGCGTGACAAAATAAAACGGATAATGAAAGCTAAAAATAACTTAATTTATTTTTGTACATAATTCAAATTTTCGTTGCCTATGCAACGAAATTTTGTTCAAGAAAGTAAAGCAAACTCTTGGGAATCATATTCCAACGATGCCGGTTTGTCGCGCATGACTGGGGCTCCTTTGTACTCCTTAAGTCTCTGCCCGTTCACCTTAAAGATGGAACCATCGTTTTGGTCCTGGATTTCAATTGCTCCATTGTCATGGACTTGGTGTACAATGAATGGTCCCGACCATCGTGATTTTAACTTGCCTGGGAATAACTTAAGGCGTGAATTATAGAGTAGTACTTGTTGTCCAGAATAAAATTGCCATGGAAGTATTTTTCTGTCATGCCATCATTTTGTTTTCTCCTTGTATAGGCGGGCATTCTCGTATGCCTGTACTCTGAATTCATCCATCTCGTTAAGCTCTAAAAGTCTTCTTTCTCCAGCAAGTTGAGCATCCATGTTTAGCTTCTTGATGGCCCAGTAGGCTTTATGTTCGAGTTCAACCGGAAGATGACATTCCTTTTCATAGACCAGTTTGAATGGAGACATTCCCAACGGTGTCTTGAATGTTGTTCGATAAGCCCATAGTGCTTCATCTAGCTTCAGCGACCAGTCCTTTCGATTTGGGTTGACCACTTTCTCAAGGATCTGTTTAATTTCCCGGTTAGATACTTTAGCTTGTCCATTCATTTGAGGGTGATACGCCATAGCAATCCTATGTCGTACTCCATATCGCTTCAGTGCCTTGACAATCAATTATTATCAAAATGAGTGCCTTCATCGCTAATGATAGCTCATGGTGTTCCAAATCGGGTGAATATATTTTTGTGCAAAAATTTTAACACCGTCTTGGAATCATTTTCAGGTGTAGCAATGGCTTCAACCCACTTTGATACATAGTCTACTGCCAAGAGGATGTACATATATCCGCAAGATGTGGGAAAAGGTCCCATGAAGTCTATTCCCATACATCAACGAGTTCAATTTCCAGAATATTTTGCCATGGCATCTCGTGTCTTTTTGATATGTTTCATGTTCGTTGGCATCTATCACATATCTTATAGAATTCATGCGCGTCCTTGAACAGGGTTGGCTAATAAAATCCAGATTGGAGCACCTTTGTTGTTGTTCTTATTCCACCGAAATGCCCTCCATATGGTGACGAGTGGCACTGGTGTAGAATATCTTTCTGGTTTTCTTCTGGAATGCATCTTTGAATTATTTGGTATCACATTGCTTGAATAGAAACAGTTCATCCCAGTAGTAATGTCGCACATCATGTCGAAACTTCTTTCTGCCCTAGCTAGATAAATCAAAAGAAACAATATCACTAACAAGAAAGATAACAATGTCAGCATACCACGGCAAAGCCGTGACAAATAATATTTTCTCGTCAGGGAAATCTTCTGTAATAGTTGTAGTGTCGACACAATCAGGTTTTTTATCTAGCCTAGACAGATCTGCCATTTGATTCTCTATACCTTTTCTATCCTTAATCTATAAATCGAACTCTTGTAGTAATAATATCCATCGAATTAGTCTAGGCTTCGCATCTTTTTTATTAATTAGATATTTAATGGTTGAGTGATCTGTATACACAATTACCTTAGTGCCTATTAGGTATTGCCTAAACTTATCGAACGCAAATACTACTGCTAAGAGTTCCTTTTCAGTCGTGGTATAGTTAACCTGTGCATTACTAAGAGTACGGCTTGCATAGTATATGACGTAAAAAATTTACTTTTATGTTTCCCTAGCACTACTCTGACTGCATAGTCACTGGCATCGCACATGAGTTCAAATGGTTCGTTCCAATCTGGCGGGACAACAATTGGTGTCGTCGAAAGCTTTTTCTTCAAATCTGTGAAGGCATTCAAACAATCGTTAGTAAATGCAAATGGATGATTTTGTTCAAGCAAAAGATATAAAGGTTTAGAGATTTGAGAAAAATCTTTTATGAACCGCCTGTAGAAGCCTGCATGTCCAAGGAAGCTTCGTACACCTCGCACACTAGTAGGTGGGGGTAGGTTTGCAATTACTTCCACCTTGTCTTTTATCGACTTCAATGCCTTGACATGAAATTTTGTGACCCAACACTATTCCTTCTGTCACCATAAAATGGCATTTCTCCCAATTCAGCACTAGGTTGGCTTCTTCACATCGTTTTAGTACCTTAGATAAATTGTCGAGGCATCATTCAAAATCATCACCTGAGACGGAGAAATCATCCATAAATATTTCCATGCATTCTTCCACCATACCTGAAAATATTGACATCATGCATCTTTGGAATGTAGCTGGAGCATTACACAATCCAAACGGCATTCTTCTAAATACATAGGTGCCATACGGGCATGTGAAAGTTGTTTTCTCTTTATCCTCCGGTGTTATGGCTATTTGGTTATACCCTGAATATCCATCGATGAAGCAGTAAAATGCCTTTCCCGCCAACCTATCAAGCATTTGGTCGATAAAAGGAAGGGGGGAAATGGTCTTTCTTTGTGGCTTTGTTGAGCTTCCTGTAATCCATGCATATACGCCAACCTGTGACTGTTCTTGTGGTGAGGAGTTCGTCATGTTCGCTTTTAATCACGGTCACCCCACCCTTCTTTGGCACACACTGCACCGAGCTAATACATGAACTATCGGATATAGGATATATTACTCCCGCGTCCAACCATTTTATGATTTCCTTCATAACTACCTTCTTCATGATTGGATTGACCCTTCTTTGAGGTTCCATCGAAGTGATATGGCTATCTTCAAGATTGATTTTGTGCATGCATATAGTCGAACTGATTCCCTTCAAGTCTGTCATTGTCCATCCGAGAGCTTTTCTGTGTTGTGACAAAACATTCAACAAACTATTCTCCTGTTCGGAGGTTAGGTTGGCATAAATTATCACTGGTAGAGTTTCATCAACTCCTAGATAAGCATATTTCAAATGTGATGGCAAAGGTTTAAGTTCCATTTTCGGTGTTTGTTGCAAGGATGACTCTTGAGACTTTACTTTATTATATTTTAAGGGTTCAAATTTTATACATGATCTGTTATGAAGAAGTTTTGATTGATCCTTTGTCTCTCTTCTGTATCGTGCACTATTGTCAATTGGAGGGCGTTCATTGTTCAAGTTTTTGTTGTCATGGCCATGAATTTCTAAATCCTCTTCTGAGTTTAATTCGTTTGGGCCAAATGTATCTTGTTCGTGCATCTCGGTTGTAGGGTTGTGATACAAAGCCATGTATTCATCGAGTCTTAGAGATTCACCTCGTCCTAGGATTATCTTCTCCTCGACTTCTCTTCATCGGCTTCACAATCCAGGATAATGAAATAAACTGGAAAAATGAATTTATCCACCTTTACAATTACGTCCTCTATTCTGCCCTCTGGCCACACATATGACCGATCGGCTAGCTGTAAGATGACTAAGGTTGGGCAGGCGTGATACCCATCTAGTTTCATAAATATGGACTTTGGTATCAAGTTCACGCTTGATCCTAAATCAACAAGAGCTCGTCCTACGAAGTTACTACCAATTAAGCATGGTATTATAAAGTTGCCAGGATCTTTTTGCTTTGGTGGGAGTTTGCTCACTGCTGAACAGATTTTTGTTGTCGTGGAAACGCGTTCTACCTTTCGTTTCTTCGTAACAATGTCTTTAAGAAACTTGGCATAGGAAGGCATTTTCTTGATGGCTTCAAGTAAAGGCACATTAATACACAACTGATCCAGAACATCAACAAATTTCTTGAATTGGATATCATCATCATGCTTCAACCGTTGAGGGGATGGTGGTGAAGGTCTCACATTGTCTGCTGTTGTTGTTGAAATATTTCTAGCCTCGACCATGAATTTCTCATTGTTCGAGCGATGCGTTTCTGCACCAACAGTTCTTTCCTTCTCTTTAGGTGTTTCCTCTCGTTCAACATTTTCAGTTCGGTCCTCAGATTATGTTATGTCATGGTAAAAACTGTTGGAGTTTTCTCCCTCAAACTTGTCATCTTGGTTGATCTGTTTTTCGCTCCTTAGTGTAAGCACATTGCATTGTTCCTTCCCATGATGCTTAGTGATCTCCATATCACTAGGAAGATTTCCTTGTGGGCGAGAATCTAGTGTTGTGGCAATTTGTCCCACTTGGTTTTCCAATGCTCTTAGGGATGAACTATGGCTTTGCAAAAGTGTTGCTTGGCTTTGTAACAAATTTCCTTGATTTTTAATTGTTGCATAATGTTCTTGCAATAAATTCCTGCAATGATAACTCCAAGGAATTAGTATTGGAATTAGTATTAGAGGAAGAAGCTATACATTTATTGTTTTGCCAGAATTGTTGATGATGTTGATTCTGAAAATATTGATGGTCAGAATTAGTTTGTTGTGGCCTGTAATTTGTTGCTTGATTGTTGTTGTTTCCTTGATGAATCCATGAGAAATTTGGGTGTTGTCTCCAACCAGGATTGTATGTGTTTGAATATGGGTTGTTGTTGCTCCGATTTTAATTTCCCACGAAATTGGCTGACTCATGGTTTTTCGGGCATTCACTCTCATGATGGTTGCCATGACAAAAATAAGCATGCGTTATTGGCCACCTTGACTTCTCTTACATCATTAGGACGTTGCAAATTTTTTCAACATGTTGGTTATGGCAGAAAGTTGAGCGACTACCGAATCCTTACCCTCTATTTCATATGCTCCATATATTTTTCTGACGGTTCCCAATCTTGTATTTGGAAATTGATAATCATTATTTGTTATCCTGTCGAGGATGTCAAAAGCTTCCTCAGGTGATTTGTCCAGTAAGGTGCCATTTGCTGAGGCATCTAGCATCATTCGAGTTGGTGCATTGACTCGGTTGTAAAACATTACCATTTGCGTCCAATCGTGAAAGCCATAGTTAACACATTTGTAAAGTAGGCTTTTGTACCTATCCCAGCATTCGTACATTGATTCATCATCTCCTTGGTGAAAACTAGCAATGCCATTGCGAAGCTGTGTGTTCATATTGGGCGGATTGTATCGTAGTAAAAAACTTTCGCATAAATCTTCCCATGACTCCATTGAGCCGGAAGGAACTCCACTGAGCCAAGCTCTTGCTCTATCGCATAGGGAATAAGGGAAAAGTTTCAGTTTTAGCACGTCTTCATGTACTCCTTGTTGTCGAAACGAGTCGCATACTTCAAGGAAAGCACGAACATGTTGCCTATCATTCTTTATTGGGTGAACCACCAAATTGTCCGATAGAGTTTAGCATGTTAAACATCACCAATTTGAGATCGAAATGAGTGGCTTGTATTTTAGGTGCCACTATGCCTGGATTGAGATCATCAAGAATCGGGTTCAAATGATCTCGTATTTCTCTTGGCCTTGCAACTTGAAGATTGATAGTTGCATCAGGTCCTAAATCTCCCATGTTGTGTTGTATTTGGAGTTGATTTGATTGTTCTCTGGTTATTTGGGCGCGCAACCTTTGTCTAAGTGATTGATCAACTTCAGGGTCAAATGGTTTCAAAGGCTTACCAGAAGATCTCAAGGTCATGCAATAATTAAAACCTACAAAAGAAAATAGTAAACTACGTTAGACTAATATAATGTGACAAAGAGAATTTGTTATGGCTAAAAAAAAATTGTCTGTTGTCAATCCCTGGCAACGACACCAAAAAATTGATCGCTTGTAAAAGTATATGCTAACGCAAGCAAATCTGTGCAAGTGTACACAATCGATGCAAGTAATATAGGGTAAGTGAGTATCGTCTCCACAGGGATTGGTCGAGAAATATATTTTCACCACAACTAGAACTAATGTCACAAACTAAGTCCTACTAAGTTGTCAACTTAAGAACTACTAAAGCAAAGGGGTGATTTAATGAGTGCAGTAAAGTTTAGTCGAGACAAAAGAAATATGCAGAATGCTAAAGTAAATAAAACAAGATATGTGTTTAATTTAAATCGAATGCAAACAACCTCACATATTCAGACATATCACAGAGCACTGATGCTAAACCCGTGTATTGATAACAATTATTTCTAAGTCTAGAATGAATTGTTATGACTCGCTCAAGCTGCCCAATAGGATTACTAGGTATTCTTATACGGTTACTATAGTAATACTCCTCAGCGTTAACTACAATCCGTTGTTGTAGCAATACCTCTCAGTATAGTAGTGTAAACTATAGGCATTGTCTATCCTACTCTAGCATCTATCCCTTTTATTCGATTGAAACCGCTCCTTATCTCTAAGGTAGACAAGTTAGAACTTCACCATCCCGGATTCATTATATTGCTTACGTTGATCTATCTTAATTCTCTCGAATATAAGAATCACTATCTAGACAAAAGGTTATCTCTCGATGCTCTTACAGTGTTAAGGAAAAATATTTAAACAGTAAGCAAAACAGTCATAAGCTAAACATAATTCATCATTCATAAAACATAAAAATATTGTTCAGGCAAAACAAAGTTTAACACCAAGTAAGACATTCATGGTGCTATCAAAGATCATCCAAAATTTAACGTTTAGTACAACCCCAAATAGATAAAGAGTTAAAAATAAAGGAAGAACGACTCCCAAAATCGAGGGCTCTGCCGCGACGATTCTGATCAACACTACGCCTACCTTGGTGATCACCCTCTCTCGAGGCCTGATCACCGCTCTGCTAACGTCTGGTTATGGAGGACACCAAGGAAGATCAGTGGGTAGACGGTGAAGAAGCACTGCAATTGCTTGCTCACGCCTTGGATGAAGTTCTATTCTCTTCTTCCTCTCCTCTCTTTGGTGGCTTTGGCTGGTTATTTATGGAGAAATTGATGTCATTAGTCATGCAGTATTTGTAAAGTACAATCCTGACTGTCATGATAGATTTTAAGAAATGGCATACTGCCTAAATGTGAGGTCATCAAATGTACCAATGATATAGCAAATGTTTGGCTCTTACATTGTATTTAAGAGTAACTATGTGATTGATACAGCATCTTTCATCTTTGTTAATTGTAGCTCTTGAGCCAATTATTTATACCTGGAACTATTCACTTATGCTTGTATGTTTCCATTTTACATCTCGTTTTTCTTTCCATTCTAGCTGTGAGCCTGTGAGTACATTAAGCTTTGCTGAAAATTGTCAAGTATATTATACTTGACAGAGATATTATGAAATGTTTTTGCTACTGTTCTATGCTTGGGGACTCCCTGTTGAAGTCTGAGAGAAGTTGGTTGGTCACCAAATAGAAATATTTATTCGTAAAAAATATATATATTGGATCTAAGAGATGTTTGCATTTAATGCAACTAATTTGTGAGTTAAGTGATTGTTTTGAGCAGTTAACTCATCATGGCGATAAGTGAGTCCCTAGAATGTTGAATGCATCACACAAGTACATAAAATATGGTTCATAGTAAAAAGTTGTCTTCTGTATCTGTGGGTTCTACATAATCCTCATAGTTTTGATGATTAGGTAAGTTTCACTAAGACATTGGACAATGGCTTTTTGGTTCGAGTTCTTCGTTTAGAAGGCTTAATTGTAACCTTTCTCGCTTTAAGAAATCTCGTGCATCAATCATTTGGCAATTTTCTTGGTATTTTTTGGTTTGTGTGCATGTGAGTTACATTTGAGTATGGTTTCTGTTACCTTCATGATTATTTGGTTGGCGGTTTGCAACGCCATGGATAGCATGAACCATAACAGTTTTTGGAAAATGTTCGATGAAGTAAATGTCATTCAGCAATTTTTCTGGTGTGCATTTTAGACCAAAATTAGGCACAGCAAGTCGGCAGTTTCTGTATAAGGTAGAACAACAGCAACAGGAAGGATTGCTTGATCATTAATGTCCATGTTGTGCCTTTTGTTGTCATACACATCAATTATCTAGTTGACCAACAGTGAGAAACGCATGTTCGAATTATGCAGATATTCTGTATGATAGTTGGTCCCCGGCCATGACTGTGAATTCCATCTGCATCAGCATTCTCTCTATGTTATCAAGCTCAACTGCGAAGGTTTGTTTGAGTTATTAGGAACTTGATCGTTTTCACTCTTTGATATTCATTGAGCCATGTTTGCTGCTCTTTGCCAGAAAAACAGCCTGAAAAAATGTAAGCTATAATATCATAGGCAAAGCAATCGTCTGACTCTTTGGCCTTATTGTACACTTTCAAGATTGCTGAAAAACAACTGGGTTACACCGTGGAGAAAGTGGATATTTTATCAGCATTGGCTGAGGTTGCACTGGAAAGAGGTCAGTAAATGATTACTTATAATTGTTTTGATTCATGCGCTTGTTGGGGTTTGGTGGGGGGAATGATGAACCTTTTTGAATTGACAATCTTTTTCTTGAAGCATCTTATTTCACCTAAATTGTCAATTTTCTTTCTGTTATACTTCTTTAGAGGATATTGAATCTTCACTTGGTGAATACCAAAAAGCTCTCTCCATTTTGCAACGGCTAGTTGAACCCGATAACCGACAAATAGCCGAACTGTATCCTTGATATATTGAAATTTATTATATATACTTGTTATTCTTTATGCGATTTGTAATACTCAATCCCAGGTTTAATTAAATAGTGTTCTATCTTGGTTGATCCGTGTATGCTAGTCAAAATAGAATTGTGAATCTCCCAATTCTGGTCTTCAATTTCATTTCATTCAGTTTCTATTTTTGCTACTTAACCCAATAATTTAAAAATTTTCGAATATGTATGTGTTTGGAGATTGTAACAAACCTTCAGAAGCAATTCCATTCTGTCAGAAGGTCATCTCCGTTTGCAAGGGTCAGCTACAACGGCTTAGAGATGAAGTAAAGAATTGCTTAGGCCGAGCATCATCTTCAGCTGCATCTGAATTGGATGATGATGTACCCCAGGGTCCACCATCTTAGGTGTTATTATTGTTATTCTAGTTAACAATGTTGAACTAAAATATTTTACGTTAACGTAAACTTTGATTTATTATTATTGATTTCAAGTTTCTTGTTATGAATTTCAAATTTATTGTTATGGATGTCAAGTTTATTGGATAATGCTACATGTTAAAATTTTAAATTTGGGTAACAAAAGAGTAGAAAGCAGCATTTGAAAAATTAGTTTTAATTCGCGACGTTTGAATAAAAAACTGCCACTAAATACATAGTCAATACCGGCGTTTTTGAAAAATGCCACTATAGTTCTAGATCTTTTGTGGTGTTTATACAGAAAATGTCACTATATACGTAGTCAATAGCGGCGTTTTACATTCCCAAAAACGTCACTATATGACATAACATTTAGCAGCGTTTTTTGGAACAAACACTACTATATGTCAGAACATTTAGCGGTATTTTTGGGGCAAAACGTCACAAAAGAACAAATAAATAACAGCGTTTGTTTCAGCGACGCTTTTTGCGACGTTTGTTTTTGCGCCACAAATGTTTTTAGTGGCCCTTAAAAATGCCATTATATGACTGAAAAAATGCTGCTAAAAACCTATTTTGTTGTAGTGCCCCCACTGAGGATTTTCTGCATACACAAAAACTCGAACCTAAGACATTGCTTAAGTGATATCAAACTGCTTACCATTTGAACCAACCCTCGTTGGTAACAAAATTATAAAAGAGTTATAAATTACATAATTTATATATTTTTATAAAAATTATATGAAATCATTATAAAAAGTATATTTATAAAAAAAATTATTAATTTAATTTTTAAAGCATATTAATTACTTATTTGAAATAATATTATTTTTAAATTATCTATTTAATTTCAAATAATTTAAAATTTAGAGTAAATTATATGTTAGTATCCAACTATCACTTTGGTTCCGCATAATATTATTTAAAATTAAGCAGATAATTTAAAAATAATATTATATCAAATAAATAAATAATATGATTTTAAAAATTAAATAATATTTTAATATAAAAATAGTATTATAAATATACTTTTTAGAATAATTTAATATAAATTTTATAAATATATATATATATATAAATAATTATTTAATCACTTTTTTATTTCTAAACAAAGTGAAAAATTATTCTTTAATTTAATAATGATATAAGTAAGTATTAAGTTTGATATAATAAAAATAAATTCACATTATAATTGAATTACTAAACTTTCGATCATTAATTTAAGTGTCACATACTCAAATTTTATAATCATCGAAAAATTTAAATTTTATGGTTATGCTATTATATAAGTAAATACAAATGAGGTGAAACTAAATTGAATGACTAGTTCAACTCAATTGATTGAATAAAATTAATAGAAAAATATAACTGTGGAATTGAAAGGTGACGTGGAAATAAAAAAGAATAGACATGTAATGTCACATCAACATTGTCGTTAGTATTTTTATAAAAAAATTAGGTACTAAAATGAAATAAAATTAATAGTGTAAGTACTAAATGTAAAATTCACCCTTTTAATATTTACTTAATAAAGATAATTTAGTTAATGATGTGTTTCAATATATCGTGTTAGGCTAGTGATATATTATCGTATGCGGCGTGCATGAAATAATACAATATCGACATTAATCAAAAAAAATTACAAGAATAACTGCTCTATAAGAAACCAACTCTACCGTTTGTAAACAAATTTCTTAATCAATAAAATGCCATTTATATTTGCTTAAACATATTAAATTACGCATTTAGCATCTAAACTATCAGTTTTGATCTATTTTAGTACATAAACTTTCAATTTATTTAAAAATCATATCTAAAATTTAGTTTTTGTTTTACTAATATATCGCCGTTAAAAACTTTAATTTTTATTTCATTTTAGTATCCTCATTCAAAATTTCACTTTAAGCTTTGAAAATATCAAAAGTTTAGGTACTAAAACAGATCAAAAGTAATAGTTTGGGTACTAAACGCATTAAGCTTTTAACAGTGGAATACTAAAATAAAATAAAAATTAAACATTATGTATGATATGAAAAAATTGAAAGTTTAATTACTAAAAGTGATGGTTTAGGTATTAAATGTGTAGTTTACCCTAAATATAAAATACTCTCTTTACATTTTTTAACACAAGCTTCATTCTTATCTGATTTCCAACTACCAATGACTTTAAAAAAACACACACACACATAGAACTTATCATAATTAAATATCGGATTCATGGGGAAATTTGGTGGCGGCAAAGGGGGCAAGAGTAGCTGTTGGCATTGAAGAGCCAATCGGTAATACAATCATGGTGATAAACATGGCCGCACGAGACTTGCCTAGGAGCACTTGAACCATCGGACGGCCATAAGCTTTCCATGCAAATTGAGCAATTCCCGGTTGCGTAACTACCCGTCGGCATCTCGGAAACCAAACGTGTAATTGTTTGAGCCATGGCTGCGGGATCCTCCGGCATCATCATGGCATCATCAAGGTCGAAATGCCGTCCATCGGAAGGAGCAGGAATAGTATTATTGCCGGAAACGACAACGTCGTATTGGGTTGAGCCGGCGGCCATTGGGAAATATCAAAGAAACTTTTATTTTTAGTGTTAGTTTTTCGAAGAGGCTTTGCATTTTAGATTGTGCTGTTATATTTATAAGGGTGTGGGGATGGCATATTTGACTTCGGAAAGGTGATTTTTTTCGACCTTTCCTCGTTCGATATTAAAAAGATGTACTTAAAATAATTTTATATTAAAAGATACAAATTTAAAATAGAGAAAATAACTTCAGTGACCAAAAATCCCATATAATATACGATTTTGATCAATTTTTTTTGGATTTGCCAAAATGACCAATAAAATCGCAATGCGATTTCTAATTCGCAACGCGATCTCCAGTATCGCGCAGTTTCGCGTTGCGGTTTTCCATTTCGCGTTGCGATAGTCTACAGTGTCGTTGCGATTTTCCATTTCACGTTACAATAGTCTACAGTGTCGTTGCGATTTTCCATTTCGCGTTGCGATAGTCTACAGTGTCGTTGCAATTTTCCATTTCGCGTTGCGATAGTTTTAAAAATGGTATTGCATTTGTTTCTTAAGAATTTTCTCTAAAAAGATAGTATCCGCGCGGACGTGTCGAAGACACGTATTACCACGACCACGACCACGACCCGACCCGACCCGAGACGGCGGCGACAGCAGCGCGTGAGAGTCCCCCTTGTTCTCTTTCACTCAACAAGGAAGTGCAAAATCCAAACCTTAAATACCATTCTCAATAGTGTTTCCAAAACTATGTGGGATTGAGCATTACCAACACTTAGATAATAGAGTATATTTATACAATGTTCAGCTCATTAATATGGTGAATCCTAGTAGTTTCAGCTTTTTATACATTCAAAGATAAGCAAATTCTATATATTTAGTCTTTGCATTTTATTCGACTTAAATAATTACGTGTTGATATATAAAAAGATAGCGAGATCAAGATAATTTGTTTAATGAATTATGTTGTACAATGATTAGACTTAAGAGTGGAGAGAGGATGGTGAGGTGCTTGAAGGAGAGGTAGTGATTAGTAATTGAGTGAGACTAATGATCCTGAATGTTATGCTTGATGATCTTTCAAAATATTTAAAGAGACTCTATTATCTATGAATTGATAAATAATTTATGAGTTGAAGATTGTATAAATATCTCTTCCTCGTAGATTTCTTATGTGATATAGTTTGATATACTGTAAGATCCGTGATATTACTATTGGGAATGCTCAATCCACATAGTTTTGGAAACAATATTGGGAATGTATTTAAGGTTTGGATTTTGCACTTCCTTGTTGAGTGAAAGAGAACAAGGGGGACTCTCGCGCGCCGCCGTCTCGTCTCGTCTCGAGTCGTGGTCGTGGTCGTGGTAATACGTGTCTTCGACACGTCCGCGCGGATACTACATTTTTAGAGAAAATTCTTAAGAAACAAATGCAATACCATTTTTAAAACTATCGCAACTATCGCAACGACACTGTAAATCGCAACGCGGAAAATCGCAACGACACTGTAGACTATCGCAACGCGAAATGGAAAACCGCAACGCGATTTTCAACTATCGCAACGCGATTTCCAACTATCGCAACACGGAATGCAGCGCGAATTTACGATACTGGAGATCGCGTTGCGAATTAGAAATCGCATTGCGATTTTATTGGTCATTTTGGAAAATCCAAAAAAATTGGTCAAAATCGTATATTATATAGGATTTTTGGCCATTGAGGTTATTTTCTCTTTAAAATATTATACTAAAAATTAGAGAGTATGACTACACCTAACATCTCTCAAATCCATTCCAAAGTATTAACATCAGTTTTGTCGAGATTTCCGACAACACTTCCAATAATAAAATATTGTAATTAGCGTTAAATACCACACATTTGCATTTCCTTACTAAAATCATGTATATAATTTACAACGGGATAAACCGTAAAACTCAATTTTATACTTGTGTAAATAAATTCTATATATATATATGGGTTAGGACCCACCCGTGGTGGAACTTTGTGATAAATTTTGGGGATCAACTTAAAATTTTAAAATATTAGGAAGTTAAAATCAAAATTTTCAAAAATTTTGAAGGTTTAATTTATATTTTTTCCAAAAAATTTATGGTCTAACTAAAATTTTTGAAATTTTGAGGGGACTTAATAAGAATTTTTTTGAATTATGGGAGGGGATTTAATTAAGAACATTAAAAAATTAAAATTAAATCTGAAATTTTAAAAAAAATTAGGGGGCAAAATAAATTTTAAAAAAAAATAAGAGTCTAAATTATATTTTTTAAAATTTTGTGAAGAGGGGGCATGGCCCCCCACTAGACCTACTTATGTTTCGCCATTCGGACCCACTTGAAAATTTTTATTTGAGAAATACAAGGAAATTCAATATTGAAAACAGTTTGGTTTTGGAGTCGCCGCCAACCTTTAAGTTAGGTATATTGGAAACTTTAAACGATAAAAAATAGTATGTGTTTTACCAAAAATTCATTTTTAAGAGTTCGGGAGTCGATTACGTATGAGGAAGGATGAGCATCCCCACGACATCCAAATTTTGGTACCTAAACGATTATATGTTGTTTAAATATTGGGAATTACAAACTCAGAAACAATATTTAATTTATGATCCTTCTATCTATTTAAAAAAATGTCAATTTCCAAAAACAACTTAAAATAAGAAATGTAATGGGTCAAAAAGATCAAAGAGCCCAAAAGATATTTTTATAGAATAAAAAAATTATAATTATTTTTATAATAGAAAATGCATCATTTTGTACGAACAATCCTTGAATGCACTTCCTTTATAGCTATGAGACTTTTTCATAGATTCTCCTCACAAAAATAATGTTTCTTTAATTTACAGTTTAAAAAAATAATGTTATATTATATTATAGAAATGTTTGGATAAAGAATGTATGTTTGTGTGAACAATCATCGGGAATGCACTTCCTTTGTAGTTAGGAGACTTTCCCATAGATTCCCCTCGCAAAAAGACATTATTTAACTTTTTTCACAAAAACGAAATGAACTAAAATAAAAAAAAATAAAAGTGGAAAGAGGTGAACAATATTCGAAATAAATAACATAAGGCGAAGAAAAACTATCGAACACAAAAATACTTGTGCGAAAAATCCTCGAAAAGATACATTTCCTTGTAGTTGGGAGATGTCTTCGTAGATTTCTCTCACAATAAAATTTTCTCATTTTTATATATTAGAAAAGCAATGATGATTTATAAAAATAAGACTGAAACATAAATATAAATATATCATAAGCAAGATCAATGACTAAAATAAAATGAAATTAAGTTAAGATGCCTAAATGCAATACTGAAAATAAGTGCTGAAAATAAAAGAAATGACTGAAATAAAATGCTGAAAAGTTAAAGGGCAAAAAAATAAAATGCTGGAATTTAAAGTGTTGAAAAATAAATAAATAAAATAAAAACAGAATAAATTGCATATATTTAAAAGTTAGGGGTTAGTTTGTGCAAATAAAATAAAATGTTAGTAAGGACAATAAAAATAAAAAAGGTTAATATGTTAATATGAACAAATAAAATAAAAGTTAGAGTGTTAGTAAGTTAGAAAAGTTAGCGGCTAGTGATTAGTAGGGTTCGGATCATAATAATGTAAATCGTACATGGATCAGGTCACTACAAGGTTGAGTAATAAGACAAACAATAAATAAATAAATAAATAATTGTTGGAATACAATAAAAAAAAGTTAGTGGTTAATGTGCGATAAAATAAAAGTTAACAGTTAATTTAACATAATAAAAATACATAGATTAGTGACCAAATTAAAATAAAGCAGGTCAGGGGGTCGGAATCACAATACATAAAACATAGATGCATAGTGACCAATATGTAAAAACAAAATAGAAGTAGAGGGACCAAAACATGAGAACATGGTGAACTTTAGAGGACCAGAATGTGAATTTGACCAAATTATTCAGTGACCATAACGCAAATAGGTAGGAAAACTAGGGGGATTTGAAAAAACATTAACCCAAAAACAGTTTGCACATGTATTATACTTTGCCATTTCTTGCGTTAAATTTTAATTCGAATGTACTACCCCTTTTTAGAAAATCCTTCTCTAGTTTTGCTACTCTCCCACGACCGACAGCTCCTGAAGCTCACACCCCATTCATCAATTCAGCTAGGGGGTCTCAAACGGCCATGGAGAGACCGAAGTAATCCCCATCGTGGGACTCACAACACAGGTAAAGTAACGGCTCCCCCTCGTTTCTGTTTTGTTTCTTTTCTCAACCCTTAAAACCGATACCCAACACACTTTGACGAAACCGATTTTTTTAAACACCCAAATCGACGATCCCCTTTTGTTTTCCATAATAACGAGTCCCCTTTGACAGCCATGGGATGAGACCGGTGAAGACCCCCCGAAACTGAAGGTAAAAGCCTTAACTCTCTTTTTCTGTTCTTTATTTGTTTCGAAAAAAGAAAATGCATGTAAAAAAATCAAGAAACCTTGGCTCGTTCTTAGTTTGAATCTGAAAGTTTTTTTTATATTGATTTTTCGAGTGATTACAAGTTGCCCTTTTTACACTGACTTGATGGGGGGTTTTATAACCCATTCGTTTTATGAAAGAGGAAAAAGAAAAGAAATAAAAAGATTTCTTTCGGTGAGAATCACGCTTGGCAGTCGACATGCATGCAGGAGAATCACGAGTGACCGGCGCAAATCTCGCTGGGAAACGGCGCATGCGAAAACTCCATGTTTGGCAACAGTAGTCGGTGGGTTTTAGAAATCCTAATCTTCTTTTTTCTTTACGTGGGCCTCTACCCATTGGGCCTCGGGTCAAATATGGCCCGGGCAAAATGCGGGATCTACAGCTGCTCCTCTTTGTCCATTGTCGTGTAACGGGAATAGGACAAAGATCAAAGACATTGATTTTGATCGGTCGCTCTGCTTATTTTGATGATGGCACTGCTCCTTCGCGTTGAGGAGATCGGGTCAATTTGGTGTTGAAGATGACATTGCTAATCCTTGTTGAAGAGATTTGATCACT